CAGCCACCCCTTCCCAGGATCGCCCATTCCGCCCATAATGGGGACCCACGGGCAGCCAGCGATGTCGTCCCCTCGAGGGGCTCTGTCCGAGCCGTAGCTGATTGGATCCAGGTGAATGCCTGTTTCAAAGGGGCTTGTTGATTGCCCCGTCTCCTGGAACAGGAGTTGGTAATGGTGGGAAGGCTTTTCTCTTTCCATCTTCACACTCCTGCCTTAACCCATCATTCAGAATTCTCAATCTCTTGGAGATACTGTGGAAAAAGTTTCTCATCCCCGTGGAAGTCGGTGGAGTGGCTTACTTAATCGGGGAGCTGGGGGAAGGGGTCGTTGCACAGCGTCCGACTGCACTCTTTTTCCTTCCTTGTACGTGTGCAAATGGACTGCCCTGTCTCCGGCATTCCTGTCCTCCGGCCTCCACCATACCGCGGGCTCACCTGGCCAGGCCTGCTCCTGAGATGGAAGAAATGCCGCTGCTTGATAAGCTGCTTGTGACCAAGTGAGTGCGATTCAAGGGGAAGTTGTAGGAGACATCATTTCAGTCCCAGTTGGAGTCACATTCCCTAGCCACTTTGCTGTGGCTATTTATCAGCTGGCTTAGGAGTCAGAAGGGAGAATGGTATTATGATAAGTTGGCACCACAAAGTCCAGAATGATTGACGTAGCCAGTCATTCTGGGCCGGTCTCTTGAATGGCAGAGACGTAAACTAGGGAACTTTGGAGTAAACATCTTCCATCTGTCCTGTGGCTGGGAAGCACAGAAACTGCATCTGGTAGGAACAAAAGCAGCTGTGCAGAGAGAAGCGGAGCCAAGCCAGAGAGAGTCCCGATGGCTCCCGTCCCAGTGGGAGCCCAGCTGCGCCGCACGGGCCGTGGGCGCCCTGGAACACCACTCGGCCTCTCACGGTCTTTCGTGTTGGGCTGGGCCAGCTCAAGCTGCTTTTATACTTTTCCAGGAACACTGACCAACACCCTCCCTGAATTCCATCATTCTCATCTGTAAGTAAATGGTGGTTTGAATATTGTCCTATGTATCTTACCAAGAGAATAAAATGAGGTAATAGAGACAGAAAGAATCATAAACGTTGTGGAGTCCCTTTGATAATATCCCTGATAAGTGGTTGTCTATAGGGAACCTGTCCGCGTGGCATGGAGAATGTAGCCCAGCCCCTGACTCAGAAAACCGGTGGGGAGAGAGTCGGCACACAGGACCCGAGCCCACGGATCAGTTCTCCCGTGGGGAATCGGGCCTGCATTGTACCTAGGCTGCTTTGAGGCTTGCTTGTTGCTAAAACTCCCTCACCCTGGATTGAGGCAGAAAATGTTTACTGCATATCTTTAAAGTAACTTCCTAAAATCTATGCTAAACCTGCCAAGTATGGAGTGCAACCAGTTCAACCACCTTTCCCCTTGTTCTACAACATCCTTTTCTTTGAGGTAATCGGCAACATTCTTTCCTTTGTTATCTGTAAAAGGTAACCACCTACAGCAAAACTGTGCATAGTGAATGAGGACCATCCTCCATGTAATGTGCCCAGAGAAGCAATAAAGGCCTGTGCAGGCAGGGGCCGGGGGCCTGTCTCTCACTTGGAGAGTGGCCATGCCATCCCTTTTTCTCCACAGAACTCTGTAGTCCGTGTGAATTTGTTCGTCACAGCCACAACACACAGACCCCGCGGGCCGGAGTCTGCATCAATTGTCCAGCCTTTTTCCTTGACAGGAAATCACTATTTCTTAAGGCAATCTATTCTGTTTTCAGAGTTTTCTGGTTGCTGGAAAATGGATATACAGAGAGAGTCAAAATTGCTTCCCCTGTAACTCCACCTCATTTATCCTAATTCTATCCCCACGGGTCACACAGAGTCAAGGCACTCTCTCTGGCCCAGGACAGCCCCTGAGGTTGATGAAAGTAGCTCTCACGTAAGCATTTTCTCCTCTAGGCCGAGTGTTCTGAGGTGGTGTAAGGACATGTCATGATTTCTTGGCCTCAGAGTGCATAGACTGATCACAGAAGTAAGTTTGGACGTATGAGTTAGAGAGAAAAATTTTGATTGTCATTCAAAAAGAAAAACAAATGAAAGAAACTCGGTTAATAAGGCAGTCAGCACTTTTGCATTTTTATGGTTTTCCAAATTTCCAACAGATACTTTCAGGATTCAGGAAAAATATTAGGAATTCCCAAATCAAAATTTATTTTGTATTTTTACAATACTCGTGTGTTTTTAAATAATGATGAGTGACCATAGTAAGTATTATTTTTTGATGATAGAGTTATGTTAAATGTCTTGGAGGTTTTCTATAAAAATAAAGACATAAATAAATACATGTTACACAAGCATATATTTCAATAACATGTAAAACTGATCTTTATCTGACAACAGAAAAAATTAAAGTCAGAGAAACTTAACAGTAAACACCAAATATAAGTGATCAAGAAATTGAAAGGCATTAAAACATTTAAAAATGATCATTCTTGAAGTAAAAAATTAAAATTTTCAAAGCATGAATTGCCCTAGCTGATAGTCTTGACCTTTGTTTATAACAAATATTGTAGATATATAAACATTTCTTTCATTTCCCCTTGATATTTGTTGAATTCAGAGTGCGTCCCAAAGCATCTTGAAATTGAGCAGTCAGTACAGTGCACACAGCTTCTTATAACTGCTTTATTTAATTTTCTTTGGTGCACTTGCCTTGATTTTGAAAATTGAGATTGCTTTTGATATTTCAGATTTTAGGTTAGTTTCTGATTTCATGTTGGAATATTCTACAACAATTGATATCTTCTTTGCCTTTTTTTGTATTCAAGCATGTACAAAGGGAGTTCTGGGGCTGGCCAATTTGAAGTAGCCTCAGTCCTCCCAGGTCCTCCTGCTTGTAACTACAACCCCGGGCGTAACTCAGCAAACACACAGGAGACTCCAGAGGTTGAGGTGTGGCAGGGGGACTGTTTAGGCCCCTGGGAACATGTGCTCCATGGGTTTCCGGTTGCCCAGTTTTCTAAGTTTTTTTTAGGTGGTCATTATTCAAAAAAATGATCTTTGTAGTAACATGTGATAGGTTTGCAATTTTTAAAGTGAATTAAACACAAATTTAAAATCTGTTTCTAATTCTTAGTATAGTAAATATGGACATATATATCCCACTCATTGTTAAGGCTGTTAAGAGAGCTGGAGACCAAAACAGTTGAAAACCTCCACGATATATTGCACTATTTGCTTACTGATTATAAGCATGTATGGATAAGACTAGATTTGAATATAACTATATTCATAGAATTTGTAAGGCAAGATGTCTAACCATAATTTAATGTTGTACCTTAAGAATATATGGTTCACTTTTCCCCTGATGACATTAATGCCACGTGGAGGGTAATTCTAATATAAGGAGCCAACTCATATTTCAACTTCACACATAAAGCAAAATATTCAGTTTCAAATTAATTGCTGGATTTGAAGAAAGTGGGATGTTCTGAGGCTTTACCACAGCTACTTCTTTTTTTTTTTAATAGACTACTTTTAGGGCAGTTTTAAGTTTAAAGCAAAACTGAGCAAAAAGTAGGGTTCCCGCACGTCTCCTGGCCCCACACGTGCACAGCCTCCCCAGCTATCAGTGCCCCAGCACCAAAGCAGTCCATTCGTTAACATTGATGAGCCTCACTGACAGATCAGTGCCACTCGGAGTCTGTTCATCCTCCTCCCCCTGACCCTTGGCAAACAGATCTCCGTACTGTCTCCACTGTCTCACTGTTTCCAACATGTCACAGCGTTGGAATCGTACAGTGTGCAACCTTTTCAGACGGTCTCAGCTTCTTTTCAGGTATAATTGATGAATCTTAGTGAAAAAGTCAGGTTCCACTTAATAACTCTTTTACATGTTTATTTACTTTCCACTATAAGAAAGTCACACGTGTCTTTGTTGCTTATCCTGACACACTGCAGACACTTAGCTACCAGTGGGCAGGAACTCCATGGAACCACAGTGCTAGTGCACACACAGGTCCTCTCAGCTAAGTGCTCTTGGAATTAAATCCTTAAGGGTGGCAAAAAACAAACAAACAACCGCCCCAAACACCCCAAACAAAAAACCAAGAGAAACAATAACAACAAAAAAAACCCAAAACAAAAATAACCAACCAACCAACCAAACAGCACCTCCCCCAACCCCCCAACAAACCTTACGGGACAGTAATTCAGAAACAAAGATAAACGCTACGAAAGCGGCACACGTCCCCTTCACAGAGCAACTCGGTCCTCCAGAGACTGTAGGAGTTGTATTCATCGGGTTCGTTTAAGTCTCTGTGATGGTTCTTAAACCTTTAGAATGACTGTGATTTTAAACCAAAATTATTGTGATTTTGATAAAATGTAATAATAATTTTTGCATCAAATGATCTGGAAACGCACGAGTAGTTTGGCAGTATCCAGAAGGACCATGAAGACAAAATAAGGGATACTCTAGGGGAGGAAGGGATTAAAAAAAAACAAAAACAAAGAGAAAGAAGCATTTTCAGTGTCTTTGGTAGTTCTAGGCTCCACTTTCTTGGTGGGTGGTCCTAACCCAGTGAAAAGTCTGTACTGTTGGAAGGCAAAGGGGTCAGGAAGGCGGTGTCAGCTCCTGCCAAGTTAAGCACCTGTCTCGGATTAGTGCTGTTGGCTGGCTCGTGACAGCGGGGTTGAGGGTGGCCTCCGTGCACTTTAGCGGAACACCAGCGAGGAGGAAGGATGGGCTGGCAGCTGTGCACTCGGGGTTTCCCCAACTGTAACACAAGGTAGGGGGCTAACGACAGAGAGCCTCCGAGACTCGCAGCTCAGCTCTCTGTCGCTCCCTCTGCCACCAATGCGGTGCTCAACTCAGGTTACGCGCTGGCAACTGCTTGTCGACCGATCCGTCGTAATCCGTCGTAAAGCCCTGCCGGGGTTTGGGTACAACCACACAGGGGCGGGGCCTCGCAAGGCGCTAGCACGCAGGGGGCGGGGGCGGGGCTTGCTGCCGGAGGAGGCGTGGCCACGCAGGCTTGCCTCAGGGCTGAGCAGCGCAGCGGGTGCGGAGGGCGGGCCCCGGCGGCGGGTGGGGGGCTCTGGGAGCTGGTGCAGGGTGGGGGATTGGCGCGCCGACGCCACGTTGGGGGTCCCTGGGGCCCGGGACCCTACCCGGGAGGCGGCACCAGGAGAGGTGGGCGTTGATGTGAACAGAGGGCGGTTTGGCTGGGGCTCTGGAGCAAGTGGCGTGTGTGCGCGTGGCGATTGGAGGCCGCCCTGCTGCCTTCTCCCCTGGCGAACGCCGAGCGGGCGCCAGCGCCTCCTGCAGACGGCGGTCCGAGCCCAGAGTCTACCCGCTGCTCCCCTCCCCGAAGGGAACCTCTTCGGCCCCAAGCCCAGGCCGGGAGGGCGCGCTGTGGCCACGCGCTACTCCCTTCCTGCAAGTGTTGGGCGAGTGGTGGGAGTTCCAAAAGCTCGAAACTCAGAATTTTAAAACACGTGTCTGTCTCTGTCCTTTTTACTTTTAGGGTTTTGGTCAAATTGGGAGAGGGCACACAATATCCACTTACCCCTTCTCACCGAGGAAGAGTGGGAGAAAGGGTAAGTAGGGAATGAGCAGGGATGGAGGGAGCTAGGACTGTGCAGAGAGAGCAGGGGACACAGGGTCCGGACCCCGGGGGCTGCCCCCAGGGGGTCGTGGGCCCAGTACCCGTTTTCACCAGGAACCTGAAGCCCACGTTCAGGGGTCACATTCTCCAAGCTCAAGAGCTTCATCAGGCTTACAGACAATGCAGAGTTGGCTGCGAGTTTGCCCTTGCCCTTGACTTCTTTGGAACATTGGTTTTATATCTCTCGACTCTGACTAACCCCAGGGACTGTACTGTTAAAGAATCCTGGTCCTCCTTGACAATTAATGGAAAACACTCCCAGGAATCTTGACAAAAGGGGACTCCTGTGAAAATTCTTGAGGACTCCAAAGCATAAAGTTAATAGCAGTATCACCCATGTTGAGTTTCTTTTGGGATCCTCTCTCAAGCTTATAGAGGAAGGTATTTTGGGGAGGAAGGCCTTTTTCTCTTGACCTGTTTTTGAAACTCCTGCACCATCATCCTGTTCATTTCTGAAAAGTTGCTGCACAGCCCCCTGAAGTCCCTGGAGGTTGGCTGTGATTTCCAGTATGGTCTCTGTCATTGGTCCTTTTCTGGGATTCTCCATCCCCCTCCTCCACGTACCCGCCCCCTCCTCTCCCAGCAGCGAAATGAAACCCTACCCCTTCCCAGAAGGTTGGGAACATGTAAACCAATGTTTTGAATTAGTTCAAGTTCAGGTTAGTCCCAAAGAGGAACAGGGAAGACTGCCCTCTGGGATACTTAGGCAGGGAAATGGGAATCGCCCTCTGACCCTGATATTGGCTGTCTGTGGCCTGAGCCTGCCATTTTATTCGTTTGAAGTGCCAGGTGACCACCTAATTTGCTTTCTGAAAACCCAGGACATAGTTGTTTATTGATGAGGGGTACATTCACTGATTCAGTAGATTTTTATTTATTGATGTCAGTGGGGCGGTAGAATGATGTTGGAGACGGCTGTTTGGGGTCAGGCCTGCACCAGTTTTCTGTGGATTTTCTGACTAGCTCAGTGTCCATGCCCAAGACCTTCCCTGTGCTGACCATGTGGCGTGTGGGTCTGTCTCCCGTGTTATGGGAGAACAGGGTTATGTGTCTGACTTTCTGGTACTTTCAGTAATAAACTTCCAACGCTGACTGACTATGGTGATTCGTGTCCTGGAATGAATAGTATCGTCATTTTCCCAGGGTAGTAAGTATATTGTACCAGTATCACAATTCGGTGAGGACAATTTTTTGAATCGTTCCATACAGATGACCTAAGATCAGGAAGCTCGCAGAGTGTTGGTGCTGCATGTAGGGAAATAAACACTGAAGTTCACGCGCATGGGTTTCTGTATCTCGAACCTCATTTTTTATTGAAGTGAAAAAGGTGTCTTTTTCTGGTTACAAAGAGTAAAAAAAGTTTTCTAACGTGGAATCTTGCAAGGATATAAAAGGTAGAAAGTGAGTCTCCTGTGAACTCAGTCGCACATGCTCACTGTCAACCGTGTTGATTTCTTCAGCTTTTTGTTTCATAGTCATCTATTATTACTTGGCGAAATTCTAAATTTCTGCCTTTTTTCTCCATGTTTTTTCGGCTGTTTACCACCATACCTGTTTCACCCCAAATCCCCCAAAGTAGAAGCCACATGCCTTTTACGCGTAGTCTGTCCGGTGTGGGTGTGATTCCTGGGCCGATCTGGTCAGCTCTGCCACTGGGGGCCAGCTAAAACTTCTCTGCTCCTTCACTTGTCCTCTGTCAGGACAGAACAGCGAGCACATTGAAACAAGTGTGTACAAAAAGCAGTGGCCGGCCCTGTTTGATTTCCTACTTTGCTTCTCCATCTGGTCGCCCATCACTTCCTTACGACTTTTCCTGTGATGGTAAAAAGCGGCCTCATATTTAACTTCCCTGAGGGTGCCAGGCCTCCTGGAGTTTTGCATTTCACAGCGATCACCTCTTGTATCTAACCCTGGAGTTTCTGGGACAAGGACTGATACCTGGCGTGGCTCACCCTGCCCCTGTCTGATCGTTCCACAGCCCTGCCTCCGTACGGAGTGCCAGCTTGCAAACGGAAGGGACAGGGTTTCCATAATGCATTGAAACAGCTCTGACACGGTGCCCAGAGTGAGAAAGACATACTCCTGTATTTAGCTGAGAGCTTAAAGCTAGGATTTCTATTTCAGAAATGTCTGTGGCTGATAAGAATGATAATGAAAATGCTGATGCTTCATGTCCGAACTGTCATGATTTTGCCAAGGTGTGGGTTTCATCGTACGGCTGAGCGGAGTAGTTGGTGTAACTAATGCTGCTCGAGAAGCCGAGGAGACAGGTCTGCAGACATCTGATTTTGCACGAGACGTCTGGTCTCGCTTTGCTAAGGAGTGCATTTTGTCAGTAGATTACAGGCATGTCAGCCGTGCCCCCACGGTCTGTGGCACTTCTATCATGAGCTCTTGTCTGCAGGAGTTAGTGTGATGTTTTATTCAAATGACAGCACACTGGAAATAAGCACCTGGTCAGAAAAGCACATTTCCTACAGGTGTCTTCCAGTGTCATTGTTCCTGCAAGTTAAGGTGGAATTGTGTCTATTCTTGGTGATTTTTTTGTATGTGTGGGAGAAAAATAATTTTAAAGAACAGCGTTATTTAAGGACCCTATGTATGCCCAAAACTTATTTCCAAGTCCATTTTTTTTGTTTGTGATGTTGATCAGGGTAATTATAGGAGTAAAATAACAAGTAGCATTTAGTTTTCTAGGGTAGGGCCCCTAAGCTTTTTTAACTCATTGCACCCCCATGAGGTAGGAGCGGTTGTGTAGCAGTGCTTTGGTGAATAACGCATTCTGAGTTCCAACCTGGAATGCCTCGACCGCACCCCCCTGCACTTTGAGGTCATCAGGGCCGTAGGAACTCTCTGGAGGCTGCCACTCCTGGGCCGGCTGTGTCACTGCTTCGCTGTGTGATCCCGGACACAAATCCCTGCTCTTGTGTCGTGGGGGCCCTCGACTCCTCATCACTGTCAGACTGAGCCTCTGTGAAGTAGCACAACACCGGAGACGAGATGAGTCCTCAGCAAACAGTACTTTAGCTTCTTCCCTCTAGGCCCTCGCCGCAAGAGCCAAGACTCCCTGTCTCCTCCAGCCCAGGCCAACCCACCGGCCAACGCAGGGGATTCGCCGTGGACTCGGGGATTCGGTGGTGGGGACTGGGAAGGGGTATGGAGAGAAGGGGCAGAGGAGACGAGGTTTTCTCAGTGCGTGGATGTGGGTCGATGGATTACTCGAGTCAGAGAAAGAACCACCTTTATCTCTGGACTTTGGGTCGCTCCCGTCAACGGCTCTGCTGGAGACTCTGCCCTGCCTGCCTGCGTAGTCCAACGATCAGCTTTTCTCTTAGTCACTTTGATGCTGCCTGATTGACCCTGTATTTCATTTTTTTTTTTAAATGGGTGGGACTTAGTCATAGAGGTCTGTAGCTCATTAGGATCTGGGTTTTTTCCCTATACTCAAAGTCCAGTGGATATCTTCTTGTCCTTTCATTGGCCTATAGATCATTCATTCCTCTTTTAAAATTTTTCGTTCTGTGATATGCTGTGTGCATTGAACTAGATATAAAGGTGAAAAGTCACTGTCCGTGCTCAAGGAGTTTACAGTCTAGCAGGACAACAGGCACCTCTACCAAACCGTGTGTGATTGGCCATTTGGAGATACACGTGGAGGGAGGGGAAGGCTCACAGGAGCTCTTGATCCCTGACGGAGATGCCAGGGAAGGGTTCCGGCAGTGGTGGCGTTGGAGCCGAGCCCCGGACGCGGAGTAGGCGTGGGCAGGTGCGCGAGGGGCGGGGAACGTCTCCAGGTGGGGCCGCCCGCCTGCGGGGTCGTCTGGAATTCTGGGAGCAGCGCGTGTTCCGGGAACTGCATGGAGGTCAGTAAAACGAGAGTGTGTGGAGGGCAAAGTCAGGAGGGGAAGGGGGTGGGTCGCCGATTCAGGGCCCACTTTCTATCCCGCGTGCGGTGGTGACCCACTGGAGCCTTGTGTGTGGCGCGCGAGGTCCCGCGCGCCGTGCGCTGGGCAGGCTGCGGGTGGAGCGGGTGGGGGTGGGGCGCCGCAGCATCGCACGCCAGGGCGGCCAGTGCGTTAGTCTGCAGGCCCGGAGTTGCAGAGCTCGGACACGGACACGGGGCGAGTCGTGGGCCCTCAGAAGTGAGAAGGGTCGGGGGGAGTATGTAGGAGGAGGGAAAACTGGCCGGTCTTTGTGACCGAACGTGAAAGGAATGGGAGCGTGGGGACGTGAGAGTGACGCTCAGGTTCCCGGCTCAGGCTCCTGGGTCGGGAGAGGGGACCGGGAAGCAGGTCCGAGGGAAGCTGATGAGTTCAGGTTTGCGCGTGTCATGGTTGACGGCTTGCCGGCGTCACCGGTGGCAGGAGGGGTCTGGGGGCAGCTGGCTGCTGGATCCTGGTGCATTGCACGGGGCGGGGAGGCAGGAGGAGCAGGTCTCCGAGGCCGTGCATCCATCCGGATAGGCGGGAAGGCGTGGGGGGCGAAGCGTGCAAGTGCTTGGAGGGGCTGCCCAGAAAGAGAAGAGAAAGGGGCTAAAAGTAAGTCTGAGGGAACACCCACATTACGACAGGGACAGGAAACGAGAGATGGAGGGGGACTGAGGGGCAGGGGCCAGGGAGTTGGGGCCAACAGACAAAGTCAGACTTTTCAGGCCAACGGTAGAATTTCTAGTGGAAACCAATGAAAAGACGTAATACTCCAACCCTGGCTGGTGCGGCAGAATGAAGGGAAACTACAGCATTTAAAGCAGAACTTAAGATCCATCATGCCACCTTGGCTGTGTGGCCCAGTAGGTTGGAGTGTTGCCAGTACACCAAAAGGCTGTGGGTCCGATTCCCCGTCAGGGCACATACCTGGGTTGCAGGTTCAGTCCTGCTTGGGCCTCGTATGGGAGGCAAGCCGTTGATGCTTCCCTGTAGCATTGATGTTTCT